GGATGGGACATTGGAAGGGGGAAAAAACAGGGAATAGGACAGGAGCCTACCACAGAGGGACCCTGAAAGATTCTATCCAGTAGGCTATCAGAGTGAGTTTTGGGTCAATGTTTTTGTGAAGCTTTTTTTTTTTCTTTTCTTATTTATTTATTTATTTATTTATTTACTTATTTATTTATTTATTTATTTATTTACTTACTTACTTACTTACTTACTTACTTATTTATCTATTTATTTATTTAATATGTGAGTGCTCTATCTGCATATACACCTACATGCCATGATAGGGCATCAGATCCCAATATAGATGGTTGTGAGCCACAATACAGTTACTGGGAATTGAACTCAGGACTTCCGGAAGAACAGACAGTGCTCTTAACCACTGAGCCATCTTTCCGTGAAGGATTCTCTTAATTGAACTTGCTGAAGAGGGAAGATTAGCAATGATAGAGTATGCTCTGAAACTGAGAGCCAAATAAACCTTTCTCCTCACAGTTGACTTTGTTACAGGCTCTTTCTCACAGCAACTAGAAAAGCAACTACAACACTATGTATAGCTGGAAAACCACGGGCAAGAAGTCCCATGATATCAGGGAATGAATACTTTTCATCTTGCTTACCAAACTGAAAGAACTGATAGAGGGCTGAAAATCGAATGGTCTTGATCCTGAGAAGGATTCTGAAAGGCCCCAGGGAGAATCCCAGGTATGTGGTGATGGGAGTGGGAGCTGATGGAACACCGCTCTGGTGAGTGCTGGGCAGAGCACACACACCTACTTTTAGCAATCCTGAATCCGCATTCTCTTCTGGGTAAACTACGAGTTCCCTCTCAAGCAGAAAACACAAAAATTGACTCCTATTGGTACATGTTAGCTAAGGTTTATCAGTCTACAAGGAACGTTTTTATGAGTTACAACACATTTTTTTATTTGTATTTGTATTTCATTACAAAGCCATTTTCCAAGGCAGTTGAACAATAACGGCAGTTCATCACTATTATTAACTGGGTTATAGTTCTTGACGAATAGTGTTAACAATTATTAGCTACTTTTCTGACCAACAAGAACAGAATGTAAATAACAAGAGAGCTGGTCAGAATTAGGAATTACCTTAAATGATAATTTAAAGAAAAAATTAGCTGTGCTGTGACCCACAGGACTGGAGCTGTGGACCCCTAATCCCATACTGTTCAGCTGAGGCGCAGCATGGAGCCGGCACACGTGAAACCCATTCTGCTTAAATAAAGCTCCAGAGGTTCTCAGCTCAGCATGCTCTAAGCAAAGACAGAGCTGGAGTACAAACTCCCACAAACACCCAAGGACAGCGCTGTGTGAGGCTAGGGTATGCAGAAAGGAATGTGAATGAAAGCTGCTAATCCACAGAAGAGCGTGAATGGGAAGGAAGAATGTGGCAGGCTCCACACACACCTACTTTCCTCCACAAAAAGGGGCTGATGGTGATAAGGCTGCTGCAGCCTATAAATATTAAACAGGCAGTCTCTTCAAAATAGCTTTCAGACTATCATTGCCAGGAGGTAAATTTTAAATAAATATTTATGCAGACAATAACTAAAAAGGTTTTTCTGAAGGGAATACATTCATAGGGCAAAAAAAAAAATCACATATTTCCAAAAATATGCCTTTTGCTTCTTTTACAGCCATAAACTCAATAAAAATGGAAAGTGATGCAATCAAACATACATGAGGATTGAAGCCAGGAAAGGCTTCTCTGTGATGGCTAGAAAAAAAGCCCATTGGAATTACATCACCTGCTTCATATAAAGCCCATGTGGACATCAGGCACACTTCATTCTGTCTGAGAATTCTTCCCCCACTTATAACTGTGACACAACCAACACCCTAAAAAATCCACTCAGCCAAGGGAAACAAGCTTTTTCCCCCATTACAGATACATCCCCTGGTGTCAAGAAAGTGACATGCTTATTATCATGTGGAGGGTTATGAGGTTTGTAATTTGTCAAAGGTTCATAAAAAAAAAAAGTGTTACAAATTCAGAATAGACGGGAAGACCCATAATAACACAGTGGCACCTTTGACAAACACTGAAAACAAAAGAACAGCCAACACAGAAACACTCAGATCAGTAGATAAAATCTGTGTTAGGCTAGGAACAAAGCCTTCTACAGAAAGGGGATGTCATCATTTTTTTTTTTTGGAAATGCAATTATTAATGTGCTTCATTACATTCTCAGAGGTTTAATGATGTGCCTAAAAGTAATTAAGGCTATTTAATGGCCCCTTAGACTTGAGTTTCACAGTCCAAATTATCTACCTTGGGAGAAAGAGTAGAAATTTGGGTCTCTACCAAGGAAGAGTTGAATAGGACAGGAAATCTTTCAGAAACCTAGGCTCTTGAGGCCAATGTCTAGGTGCAGGGATTTCCACCTGGCCAATATACCTGATCCTTCTGCCTTCAAAACAATTCAAATTCTAAAACTCTGCTACTATGTTCTTATCTTCCACCTTCTTCCAAAATATGCTGTCCTAGTTTTGCTATAATGGCATGTTTGGGTCTTTGGTGCTATTTACTTTAAATCACAGACATTTCCAGAGATCCTCCCCAACCCATACCAGTTACAATATCAAACTGAGGTGAGGGTGCATGGCCTTTTCTATAACTAGTTCAAATATTTCTGTCCAACCTACTGCAGGCTACATTCCCAGGTTTAAATAAGGTACCCTTCCCATTCCTCCCTATAGAAAAATCAAGAAAAGTCAATAAAGAAACGAGAAATAAATGTTATGGTCCAATCCTGTAAGAACATTCTATCAAACAGAGAACAAAAAACTGACTCCTACTAGTAATTTTATCTAATGTTTATCAGTCTATAAGGAACACTTTTATGAAGTAGAGCACATCTTTATTTGTACTCATTACAAAGCCTTTTTCCAAATCAGTTCAACAGTAACAGTATTTCATCACTGTTATTAATTGGGTTATAGTTCTTCAAGAATAATGTTTACAAATATTGGCCACTTTTTTTGACCCAGGCACCGAAGTACTTTGTCTTTTTAACTCTCATTTAATCCCTGTGAGCCATTTCTGAACCTGGCAGTGCTGGCCCATTCTATAGAGGCAGAAAGTATGGCTGTGTGACATAACCACTCTGCTAGAGGCTCCCTGCAAGCAAAGACAAGCTGGAGATGGACCTGAGGCAGCTCAAATCTTTAAGTTAACACTCTTCCCACTATATTCCACCTCAAGACTTCCTCATGCATTCCTTGCTCCAGAGCTTCTGGAACTCTAAAATAACTACCATGAGAAGTGAAATGGTAGGCAAATGTGGGCTAGCAGCCCTCGTGATTTCTTGCTCAAGACTACACAAATGCTATATTCACCTGGACAGAGACTGTAATTCAGGGTAGCCTCAGTCAATTTTGTGCATTTTCAGCTGCAGATGCTGCTTGAACATTCACTCAATCTCCTAGTGTTAAGCTGCAGAGCAAGAAAATGAACTAAATCTAAAACAGCAATTCTGTCCAAAACTTCCAAATCTTATGCATAACTTTGCCCCAGATCTTCCAGCTCAGAGTGACCTGGGCACTGTCCACTGGTCACCTTAGCACTGTGTTGGCTATACTGAACCTAAGCTCTCTGAGCTACGACTAAAGAAAGAAACCAGAAACCAGAACAGAGGATGTCATTGGTATTTGCATCCCTGAAAGGAAATGGCTACATTCAAAGCCACAGGACATTCTTCTGACATGTGCAATCTTTGACCCACGTTTTTAGTCTTACTATAACGCCCACGTAAAAGACAGGGAGTTTTCAAAATGAAGCACTGTGTGTCATTTAATTCCTTGACAAAGCATCCATGTGAACACACATACACACGTGCAGCAAGGGTTAGGTGTATTATTTCTTCAAATAATTTGTAAGTCTGTACAAAACATGGATGTGTTTCATATGTGAGAAGATTGCCTAGACCGTCCCCCCTGACACACACACACACACACACACACACACTGCTTTCTCTAACTCGGCTGAATGTTATAGCAGAGTTAAAGAAAGACTTTTAAAATATAAGACTTAAAATATTAAAATGTTTAAAAAGAGACACAAAAGTGGAGAAAAAAAATGAAATAAAATAAATCAGTAGTGATTACTTTTAGAAACAAAATGCCTTAGTAGGAGATAGAAAAGTATCCAGAGGGTTAAGAGACCTATTTGTGCCACTTATAAATATAATGCTTTTGTGTGTGTGTGTGTGTGTGTGTGTGTGTGTGTGTAACTGATCATTTCAGATCCTCCATCCTCATATAGCCCAAAGTTAAATTTTGACAAATAGAAGCCAGTTCTTTGAACTGTCAATAATGGAGCACGTTACTCTAATAATAATGCTTCCTAAATGTTGAAAAATTACCAAGTCAGAGACAACATAGGCAATCATGTCCAGTACTTACTGGGGGCTTTCTGGAGACCAGACAAGGTTGACTGGCTCCTTCAATTGTATAATCTCTGAGAATAATCAAAGCTACTTTTCTGATCCCTATTTCACAAATAAAGAAACTCCAGCTTAGAAAAGTTGAATAATTTGACTAAATGGAAGCACTGATGCTTAAAATTATTTGTCTTATGCTAAAACCGGAATACCTTAATAACACTGAAATGTGCCAGCAGGCTTAAGAGAGTGCTGCCTTCTGACACAGCACTGTCTGGGGTGGCAAGAAGCCACAAAGAACGGCAACTCAAAAGGAAAGGCGGGGTGGGGGGAGCCGAAAATGTGGGAGAGAAAAGACTAAAGGTCCGTTCACTGGAGCTACTCCTGACCTTCCCAGGGTAGAAACTCCACTAGGGGTTTCCTTGGACCCCTCCTGGAGCCTTTATTTTCTGAATCTAAATATTCTCATGTTCTCCTTTACTATCCATGTATCTCATCTCTCATAGCGCAGATTACATGGGCTTTTGCAGAAGCAAGCAGGTAAACCAAAGCTCTCTTCTCTCATTGAGAACATGAAAGGCTGAGCTCGGCAACCTACCTTGGTCTTCATAAACTTGGAGTGGCTTTTGTACACCTCAATTTGTTTGATCTCCTCCTCACGGTCCTCTGTGTTGAGCACACCATTGGCTTTCAACATCTGGATCTCATCCTCAAGGTCCCGGATGTTCCGCTCCAATGAAGCAATTTTTGTGTCCTGTTGATAAAAGGGAAAGAAAGTTTGAGGGCTTTTTTTTTTTTAATCCATCATTGACAAAACAGAATTTAAAAAGGCAACTCTGGCAGTGTGGCATTTGCCATGCTGCAGAACTAGCCTGGGGTTCGGAAGAGTTTATGTTTTTATGCCTGAGGACCACTTGTCAGGTAACTGTCTGAATGTTCAACGAACATCAAGTGTCTGCAATACAGGGAGTACTGAGATGTGCTTCACTAATGTCCACGAGCCAAATTACTGAGTAACAGTAGCAAAAATAATCTAAAGTAAAAACAAACAAACCAACAAAAACATCCTAAAAATTTCAGTGAAAAAATAATAATTTTGGATATAATTAAGCGGGTACATGTTTCAGTCCACTTGTACACACAAAGGCAGTTTGTTCCTGTTTATTTAATTGTATATTCTATGGCTGCTTTCATGGGCATGCATGGAATTTGATTCCAAGAGAGAAGGAAATTCAAAGTTACTAATTTAGAGAGGGATTCTCATCTCAAACACAGACACAAGTAAAATTAAATAACCGAATCCTGACTTTGTATACTGATACAATAAATATTGAAAATTTATAACAACTGGAAATAATATATCACAACATCATGATTTATTTGGCAAGCAGTCAGGTCCCTACGTGACAAAAAACATGACTACCTTGCTGGCCATTTCTAACCTATTGATTTACAGACCTGAAAAACTAGAAATATTACATTCAGATGTGGGATTAATCGAGAAAAAACATCCAGCAACAGACTCTATACACAAGAGAATGTATAATACTAAACGATGCTTGAGAAAGTACAGAAGAAAGGATTCTTACAGGGCAAGCCACCAAGCACAACAAAAAACATTGCCTTAAGCTTCTAGAATGAGAGTCAATATGTCTAAAGTTGCCTGAAGCATTCCCACTGTCTCCATTTGCCTGTATTATATTACAAAGATGCAATGAATCAGTGTTAAATTTGTCATTAAACGTTGATGAAATGAACCAATAATTAATTAATTTACTTTTTAGAACATGAAAGACTAATTCCACAGTAAACACAATTCATGGCTCCTGTGTTTATGAGTTCAATTTTAAAACATTAGAACAAATGTGTCTGTCTTTTTTGTGGCTGTTGTAAATTTCCTTTTTCTATGTTGCATGTCCAGTATAACCCACAAGTCAGTGTACTAGCACTGATTGTACTATACAATGTAACTATATTGAAAGAGGAAGAAACAAAGGAAAGATGACAACTATTTACGGGCTTACTATGGGTCCAGAACCAAATGCTTAATGTGGTAGCTACCTTCATTAACTCTTAGGAAAATCACATCAAATACTATATAAATCTGAAAATTTCAAAACTATTATAAAATCCTACAGTCCATAGTTTTATTTTCCTTTGAAAAAAACATTGTTTATTGAATTTATCTGAATCCTTATCCTCTAATGTGATAGTATCTGGATGTGTGATGAGGATAGGGTTGGATAAAGGACATGTGGAAAGGACCCTTGGGATGACAGTAGTATTCTCATCAGAAAAGATACTAAGATTTTCTGTTTCTCTCTCACTCTCCTACCTATGAAAGATGGTGGCCATCTGTAAATCAGGATGAGTGTCTTCACCAGAGCTCAACAAAGCTGGTGTCCTGCTCCCACACTGCCAGGCTACAAAGTTCTACTGGTGACACCTCCCGGTCTATCTTATTAAGTAAGGAAGCTGTAGGAAACAGACACCAGAAGCCTCGCTCAGTGACTTGCTTCAGTTTCAAGCTATGAAAATAAGAGGAGGAGGAAGAGGAGTGGCCAAAGCAGCAATAATCAAAAGGCTATAAATTTCTAAAATTTCATAATCTTCAAAGTGAGTCATTTTTAAATCAACAAATTTTCCAAATCATAAAAATGAGACATGCTCAGTTATTAAAAACTTCAAAAGTTATATGACAATTATGATTAACATACTTACTGATTCCCATGACAGCCATAAGACTATTATTCACCATAAAACATAAGAAAATATATTAGTTAAGACAGTAATCAATATGGGCTGGGGAGATGATTCATTGGTAAAGTGATTGTCCTGTAAGTACTAGGACATGAATATGACCCCCAGAATCTACATTTTAAAAAAAGCTGGGCATGACAGTGGGCCACAATTGATCCCTGTAGCTTACTGGCTAGGCAGCCTAACCTTTGTGGTTACTCAGGCCATTGAGAGATCCTGCCTAGAAACTCAAGCTAAACAGTATCCAAACAACTCCCAAGGCTGTCCTCTGGCCTACAAAAGCAAGCGTACACCTGTGCATGCCCACTGCATACACCCTTGTACCACACATATACACACAAAAAATACTGATTGGTAAGGTGCATGTTCCCTTTATCTCTGCTGATGAGATTTACAAGTATCTAACTAGAATCAATGAGAGCTTGCACAAACTAATGCAATCATTATAAGAGCGTAACTGTTTTAGCTGTGAAGAGAAGATTCAACTTCCTTGCTCTTCCTATAAAAAAAATCTCTTAAGCATTCAAGTCCTAGTCTAAAATGATCACAGTTATGTGATTAGGTGTGAGTGTGTGAGAGTGTGTGTGTGCTACAGTAGTAAAACTTGCAGTTCTCATATATTTGACACACCTTTCTGATACCTTCTGGTAAGATTTCAGGTCTCAATCATGTGAACAAAAAAAGAAGAATATGCCTTCTCTGAGTTTTCAGAGTTGCTTCCAGTCAACTCCTAAGGAACTAGTTAGTAATAGCCACAACTAGCAAGTCCTAAACAGATTAGAAGGTACTTCTCCACCTCATTTTGAAGAATTACATGCTATTGAGGAAAATCAGAATGGATCAAGATAGTTTATTCCCAGAGCCAAGCTTCTAAATCTGCATGCATCTGGGTTAAAAGCCTAGTAAGCAGTGAAACAGAGCATATTTTTCACTTCAATAATTTTCTTAAATTAACAACATTTTTTTCTTTTCTTGTTTTTGTTTAGCTGCAGGCATCCCAAAATGCAAAAAGGAAAAGAAAGAACCAAAAAAGGAAATGGGTGCTCTGGAAGAATCTAGTTATTCTTGTTCCTATATTACAAATCTACTTCAAGGGTAACAAAACATATTCCTAAAACTCGTACACACAGAAAAGGCCAAACCAAACTTAAATAGGGCAATACATTAGGATCTACAGCAGAGGATACAAAGCACAGAGAAAGAGTTTGGATTTTAGCTCCGTACAGCATGTTTAAAGTCAGAGAGGGTGAGGAAGCTAAGCTTGAAAATCAGACAATGGCTGCCACGTTCCTCACCACTCCAGTCCAAGAATCCAGGAAGAAGGACGTTTATCTTTTGTTTTCAAAGAGGTTTGTAAGGCTATGACATATGTGTGCCAGCACACATCCAAGGACCGTGGAAGTGCACATCACTCTGGTGTGGCTGAAAGCAGTGTACTGACATTCTTCTTGGAAGAAACGCTAAATCAACACGCACAGGCCCTCTAAACCACGGTATGCAATCAATGACAACACGCTGTAATATCCCCAGAGTTCTGGAAGGTAGGGATGCATTTATTCATTAGTAATCTGAACACTTTTACACTTGCTAATGACTAACATTTTAAACAATCTACTATAGTTTTCAAACACACATAGGTTATTTCACAAGAAGCCATCCTTCAGAAACATAAAATGTAGGGACTGCCTTTGAGCCAGAGACAGAGAAAATACAATACAGAATAACTCCTAGCACCTACAATCTCTGACAGGGCCTGGTGAGTCTGAGAAATGCCTGTTGGAGATGATCAGCGCTCATCAGTGTCAGCAGCTCTAAGAATTTCTGCAGCAAAGTATCCTGCTCATGTTCATCCAGGCTTATCACCTTTAGCCATCATTTTTTATAAATAGACTGGGGTTATAGGGAAGGTTCAGTTTGTAATATGTTTCCCACATGAGAATGAGGACATGAGTTGGGATCCCTAGCACCAGTTTTAAAAAGGCAGGCGTGGTGGCACACACCTGCAGTCACAGGGCTGGGAAGGCAGAGGCAGGGGCTCTCTGGAACTTGCTGGCTGGCAATACCAGCCTTACTGGTGAGCTCCAGGTTCAGAGAGAGAGAACGTGACTCAAAAAAATAAGGTGGAGAACAATCAAGGAAAACAGCAGATGTTGACCTATGACCTCAATATTTTCCCTTGTACCCAAGATAAAATATCAAAATTTAAAATAAATATTCAGATGACTATATCCACTTCTGTCACTCATAAATGGTAACCAAATGAGCTTGGTAGCACATGCCTATAAACCCTATAACCATAGATAGCACTCAAGAGGTTTAAGCCAGAGGATTACAAATTCAAGGGTAGCTTAGAGTGTAGAGAGAGATATAGGAGAAGGGAAGTAGTGGGTAATGAGGAAAAGTGAAAAGAAGAGAAAAAAGGAAAAAGGGTATATAGAGGGAGGGAGAGTAACTGAGTACCTGCAGTGACTAGGGAATAAAATAATAAAGCAGACTCGCATTCTGGATGCGCCATCTCATGCCTTCGCAACACCATGAGATATTACACCTATGAAGCTGTTTTGTTTTTAGGTGATATATTGGCTATGGACTTTAATAATATTTTAAAGTAATGAGAAAAAAAAACTAAAATATGTTTGATTCTGTTCCCTATTAGGGGAACAATCTGATCTCTCAACCATGCATAAAATAATTCTTATAAATTTTTATACAAAGTATAGGTCATAACTTCCATTGAATGATTTGTACTAAAGATCATTTTATGTCCAAAAGAAATGTCTAATATACAAATAAAAACTAAGCCACAGGGAGGGATCCAAGATGGTGGTGATGAGTAGAACAGCACTGCGTCTGACAAGTAGAACAGCAAGTGACTGCATAGAGACCAACAGACTGAACTCTGGGCCCCAAAACACCAGCGGTTGTATTTCCCAGGTGAGAGGAACCTCCACCACACACCTGTGTGCCTGATCACCATCCCCGATTGAACTGTGG